GCTTGCTCCAGCTGCTTTACATTTCTCTAAAATCAGACCATCATCAGGCCTCAGAGAGTTGTCTTCTACCACAGGCCATATTTAACGGATTCAGTGTCTCTCTCAGCAGCTTAAGCAGAGATTAGTCCCCTCCATTCAGTACAAGGTGCAACCACTGCTAATTCCGGGGAGCTGCTCTCAGCCTGGAAAGTGCCCAGGAGAACTCTACAAACACCTCACTCAGCACTATCCATCAGACTCCACTGCTGACAGCTGCAGCCTCCTGGCCGTCATGGCTTCCTGCTATGCTTGTCCCTAATGTGGACGCCACATACAAGAAGCAACTTAAGGAAGGATTGATTTGGGCCTCAGCTTTTGGAGGATGGAGAAGGCCTGGTAGTGGGCTCAGCAGGACTCAGAGAAACTGGTTTAACTCTACTGACAATTTCCTGGGCCTCACAGGGACCAAACACCTCCAGCCAGGCCCCACATTCAAGGGCTCCCCAACTTCTCAAAACTGTGCAGTCTAAGCAGACTGAAGAGTTAGGGTTCTACTGCTGTGGTTAAACACCTTGATCCAAAGCAAAAGCAACAGTCCATTTCAGAAAGAAGTCAGGGCAGGAACCTGGAAGTAGAACCTGAAGCAAAGGCTGTGGAGGAATGTGGCTTAGGGCTTGCCAGCCTGCTTTCTTATACATCTAGGACCACCAGCCCAGGGATGGCTCCACCTACAATGGCCTGGGCCTTCCCCCATCAGTCACTAATTAAGAAATAACCTACAGGCTCGTCTACAGCTTGACATTATGAAGGCTTTTTTTGTTTGTTTGTTTTTTTAAATGGAGGTTCCCTACTCTCAGATGGCTGTAGCTTGTGTCAAGCAGACATGAAAGCTACAAGTGGATGTCCCATCCAGCACAGGGACCAAAGGTTCATGAGATAATGCAGAGCATTTCATATTCACTCCATGACAAAGACCTTTTCTGCTTTATAATAATGAATCGTAACAACAAACAGTCATAGCAATGACGGTGATAGTTGGAACACTTTGTGCTTCTGTGGGTTATAGACACTGTCATTTACTAGATAGGAAGTGTACAGGGGGTGCTTCAATGGTCTTATGACTTGGACCCCAAGATTCTGTAACATCTGGCTTTTACAGACCTCATCTCAACACTCAAGAGTATTCAAACCTTCACTTTAAACTGTGATGGCTTGAAAGGATCAGAGCCTCTGATCCTATGGGTGCCTAACAAAATGTTGTTTCCAAGATGTCCCTGAGCATGTGGTGAACACATGGGCCTCAGAGGGAGACAACTGCATCACAATTTCTCCTGAGACCCTCATCAGAAACCTGGGTCTCCAAAGACAGTGTTGATGTACTAAAAATGAACAATAAGCTGACCAACTCAGCTCCCACCCAGGTCCAGATCCAGGGCTCTGAGTTGGTCCACCCCAACGTCTACCCCATCTATAAACTACAGGAGAGAGTGAAGAAATGAGCCCTACAGATCTAAAGCTGTAGGATCTCCATGACAGGGCAACAACAGGATATCTGAGAGGAGTCCTCTTGAGGATCCAGCATTGATGGTAGCAGAAGCCAGAGAAACTCATTGCAACTCATTTGTAACTAAAGCTGTTTGGGCAAAAGGGTATACTGTGTGACATGCCATGATATCACAGCTTTCATGGCGAGATAGCTTTTTGTTGTTTTTATTTTATTTTTGTTTCTTTTGTGGGGGTAGTTGCAAGGGTGAAGGAAAGATATGAAGGAATGAGTCGATTGGGGTGCATGATGTAATTTTCTTGAATCACTAAAAAGTTAAAAAATGGGGCGAGGTGTGGAGAACCTATGATTCCAGAGTTCTACCCACATGAGAGGTGTCCTTCCTACGGACATTGGATTAGAGCCCTTTCTTTCTTTCTTTTTTTTTTTGTTTTTGTTTTTTGTTTGTTTGTTTGTTTTTGTTTTGTTTTTTGGTTTTTCCGAGACAGGGTTTCTCTGTGTAGCCCTGGCTGTCCTGGAACTCTGTAGACAAGGTTGGCCTCAAACTCAGAAATCCGCCTGCCTCTGCTTCCCAAGTGCTGGGAATAAAGGTGTGCGCCACCACTGCCCAGCTAAAAAGGGACTAGTTTTTTTGTTTATTTTTAGACAGGGTATCATTATGTAGCCCTGGCTGGACTTGAACTCACAGAGATCTAATAGAGCCCTTTCTTGTTCTCCAACAAAATGCCATTTGAGTCATTAATAAACCACAGAAACTTACTTCTTGTCCTAAGGGGACTTGGCCAGTTAAGACTAATGTACCAAGAGCTGCGGGGTGGAAAGAAGGCTGCTGTCGCTAATGTGCATTCTGTTGCCTTCACATGCCCAAGGGGAAGGACTGAAGCCAGTTCTCAGAGCTCCTCTCTAAGCTCTTCCATCATGATTGTGAACTCCAGGGCCTTGTCACCTAGATGCCCCATGTCTTTATTCTGCTGTGTTGAGGTTGAAGTTTCAACAGGGATCTAGGGAGACACATGCTCACACCTGATAACACAGCTGGCTCCCCGTAGATATGGGAGTCTCATGCTCAGCTGGACAGCAGGCGGGAACTCCAAGCAGAAGGTGTGAAAGGAGAGGGCAGGGCAAGCATCAGTGTAAGCACTCTTCACAGGTGGGTACAGACAGGGATCAGCAGTTCATACCAGCTTGAGATTAGACTATGGCTTCCCTTCAGAATCCTGTTGCTATCGTTCTTGAGATGTTAGTAATCCTGAAAAGGCAGTCGCAACTTTTACAGAACCTGAAATGCTTGATACATGACCTATCTACCTACCTTCCATCACTGAAGTTTTAAAAACCGTCTGAAGGCACCTTCAGATACTCTTACCATTTCATAGCCATGAAACTGCAAAGGAAACTCTGCTCCTGGTGGCAGGGTTGCGTGGGGAGCAGCCCTGCCTGGGTACATGTGTAGAACGGATGAAGTCCTGAGTGAAGGTGTATGGTTGATGTGGGCATGGCCGTGTCAGGGGTGCAATGCCTTAGACCCCTGGGAGTGGCAAAGCCTGCCCTGTATGGGTGAAGCTCAGAAGGACAGCAAAGCGCTAATGTTGACAGTGTTTGCAAGCATGAGATTGTCTACCTACTGTGTGCAGGTACCTCTTCTCAGAAAACTGCCCTGGGGCTGCTTCCTTACAGAGAACTACTAAGATGAGCTAATTCCTCTAGTGCAGTACATAAGGTCCCATTGTCATGTAGGAGGGACTACTCTATCAGAGTGAGTACTGCCAACCTGATCCCAGCTTAAATGTCTGTCTGTCATTCCGTTTTAGCTTCTAGTCAGATCAAGTCTCAGCTGTGTGGAACATGGCACCAGTGAATGACCCACTCACCATGACCAGAATTTTCTATATTCTCAGCCTAAAGTCATAGCAACAGGGCCATGATGGTACAGTTCAATGGAAGAGTGCTTGCCAGATAGGTATGAGGCCCTCAATCAGTGTTCGCAACCTTCCTAATGCTGTGACCCTGTAATACTCCTCATGTTCTGGTGACCCCAACCATAAAAGCTATTTTCTTTTCTTTTTTTTTCTTTTCTTTTTTTGTTTTTGTTTTTCGAGACAGAGTTTCTCTGTATAGCCCTGGCTGTCCTGGAACTCACTCTGTAGACCAGGCTGGCCTCGAACTTAGAAATCTGCCTGCCTCTGCCTCCCAAGTGCTGTGATTTAACGGCGTGTGCCACCACCACCCGGCAAAAACTATTCTCCTCCATACTGTAATTTTGCTACTGTTGTAAATGTCTGATATGCCCTTGGGAAAAGGGGCATTTGACACCCCCAAAGAGGTTGCACAATCCACAGGTTGAGAGCCATTTTCTAGGTCCAAAAAAAGAAGCTGGGCAGTGGTTGGGCACGCCTTTAATCCCAGCACTTGGGAGGCAGAGGCAGGTGGATTTCTGAGTTCAAGGCCAGCCTGGTCTACAGAGTTGAATTCCAGGACAGCCAGGGCTACACAGGGAAACCCTGCCTCAAAAAACCTAAAAGAAATGCGAACAGTCTAAATGTTAGAATCGAAGATACAAAATCCAGCAAGCCTTTCCTGCCAAAGACAATGAAAACGAATCAAACAATTACAGAAGAGACTGAGTTTATTGAACGTGTATTTACTAAGCCCTTGCTTGCTATATGCCAGGCATTAGGTTAGGTGCTGGGAATATGTTGCATGGATCAAAAATGTACAAAATCCCTGTCTTTATTGTACTTAACACTCTAGACGTCATAGGCTACAAGACAACAAACATAATAAATAAGGAAATGACAATTGTAAGTTAGAAGGTGGGAAATACTAAATAAAACAAAACAGAGCCACGGGTGGGTGGGGTTGAGGGGTAAAGAATGACAGTTCTTCCTGGACACTTTCCAAAACGATTAAAGGAAAAGTATCGACTTCTTTCTTGGAAAGTCTGTGTGCCTGAACACGATGAAGTCAAACACTTCCAGGTCTGTGCTGCTTGTGGGATTCTAGCAGGGAAATTGAAGAGGTTTAAAAGATGGTGAAGAAGCAGCAAAAACTAACATGGCTAACTTTCGTAAAATAGGTGTTTCCTACAGAGTTCTGGAGGCAGCGGCATCTGTGTCCTGCAGCGGGAGACCCTCCCACAATTCTAGGAAATTCCACAGCTCTGGCCGCACTGCCAGCCAGTTGCTGTCAAGGGTCAAGATGGCTAAAATGAAGCTGGCAATGCAGACAATGTGGAAGGACTCCAATAGCTCTGAGGTCTTTTTATTTCCATCTCTTTTAAGAGTACAGCACGTTGTTCTTCGTTGTGAACGGTGAACACGGATGAAAGGGGGCTGTCTGCACTTCCCACCCCATCCTCCCCCCCCCCAAATGTTCACCGCTCACCCTCACCACTATACCCGCAGGCTTTGCTCTTCCCCATAGAGTTAGCAAAAGCTAGTGCTAAATTACCAGAGAGCTCTCTGTCCCTTGATTTAACATCAAATTTCAATATCAGAAAAAAAAAAACAACCCAAACTACCTGGCAAGTTTTATTCTCTGGATAATTAGGTTTCCCAAATAAGATGTAAACGTAGAGCATAAATACTGGGGGTCATCTTCGACAAGAGAGTCATTGATTTAGCAATGACCTTCAGAAAGAACAGGCTGTGGGACCAGGAAAAAGGAGCATTCACCGTGGGACATTTACAAATATCAACCGCAGCCCTTACCAGAGGTGATAATGTCATTAGGTCATTGTAACTGTCCAGTCTAGGGTTAACGACATCTGGAAGTTGTTCAGCTATTTCTCTTTCTCGCTGTTAGGGTTTCAAGGGTGCTTCTTCCTGGTGTCTGTCACCAATTTATTTCTTTGTAAACCTCCTCCTTTCAAATCAGGATGTATACATAAAGTGCAAATAAGAGGCAAATTCTGGGCACAACAGCCGCCATATTCCCAAATCTGTTACACCGCTGGCCAGCTAGAATGTCTGCAGGTATTTCTGGAGTCAGCAAATGAGTTCATTTGGCAAAGAGAGTGTCTGAAGGTCAACGCAGTCCCGGCAAGAAAACAGGAAGTACCACAAACAAGGCAGGGAGCTGAACGGTGCAGGCAGTAATGGGGTTGTACAGACTCTTTGGATCTTGACACTTAATACTTCAAGAACTATCAGTAAATGAATGCAGCCAGCGGATTGCACCACGGTCAGTCTGTAGCAAGAGCAGATTCAGTCTTTCCTGGGTTGGAAACAGGAAAAACAAAAGTTAGGGAGTCAACTTTGATGAATTATGTCAGTCAACAAGTCTCTCTCTCTCTCTCTCTCTCTCTCTCTCTCTCTCTCTCTCTCTCTCACACACACACACACACACACACACACACACAGTAAGCAACATCCCATTTCATAGAGCTAATTGACCTTCCCATCAGAACTTTGCACAGCTGTCTTTCTTGGCATTTGATAGGTACAGAGGTCAAATAGGTCATGAGTTAGGTAAAGTTATGTCAATTTCTTTATATAAACACACACTTTAGTTATTTGGCAGTGGAAAGGATGGTACCCAGGACACGTCACACGTTAACAAAGCACTCCAACTCTGAGCTACATCTCCAGGCCTCTCTGTAAGACTTCTTAGGAAATCAATTCAATATACTAATGTTCAGTTACTCGAAAGAAGGTTACAGGACACAGCATTTCCTGCATTCAGAGGGACAGAAATTCATCTTTTCATGAACCAAGTTGCTAGGATTAACTGCTTTCGTACAACTTTTTTGGGAGGCAGGATATTATAGAGGTCAGGTTGTCCTCAAATTCATGATCCTCATGCCCCAGCCTAGCGTGTTGTTCTGCCATGCTTAGCTTAGTACAACCCGTATTGAGAAGGATGACTTATAAATACTGGCTACAGATGACAGGAAAGATGTCAAATCATCTTGTTTGATAGTGTGAGAGCCCTGCTTCTATACTGAGCCACAATCCCATACCAATTTAAATTAACCATTGGAGCAAGACCTGTTACATTCTCTATATAAATGCCAGATTCGGGAATGAATTTTTTATATTGCACATGACTGATTAACATTCACAATAAAAAGTTAATTATTTCTATCTATTACAAACACTTGGATCACAAAATCAATGGGCATCCCAAGGGGGACTGTCCCCTGCATTTCCTTCTGATTCTTTTAAGAGCATGTAGGCCAAGGTTTTAGATAGCATTATGTATGAAGCTAAGTCACAACTGAGATTAGACAGTGTTACTACAAAAGATGTAAAACTAAAGTCGTAGAAAACGGCCAGACACTTACTAGTTAGATTCCTGAATTTCTTTTTGGCTTCTGCCCTTTCTTCAGCATCAAAGTACCAGACAGTCATAGCGTACCTGTGGAAGAAGCACGTGCTGTCAGAGACCATCAAAAGCTTCAGACTCGCTCTGTGACGCTCACAGTAAAATCATTTGTAAAACCACCACTGTGTTAATTTACAAGTATCTCCTTGGGTTCAATTTGATATAAATGTCATATAAAACGGGTGTTTCAGGGACTGCCAGGTCCTGTTCTGAGCGCTGGGAACTCAACGGATGCTATGCCTAGAAGCGTCTCTTTAGAGCTTGGCCTCCAGCGGCTGACTGGATGGGGAAGTGTAATCTGCACAGGAAGGACTGGAAGAGACTTGCCCTGCTAAGGATGGAGGCTCGAGACGGTGGGAAGGGAACAGAGAAAGGGAGGTAACATTCGGGGGAAGCTTTCACGTGTAGCTTTGTTCAGTCACAGGACCTGTCTAACTCTCAGCCTGCTTTTTCCAGTTTTAGGCACTGATGCAAAGCCTCAGTTCAATACTGATACCTTTGGGGTTTCTACTGCTTCTGTTACTTGCTTTACCTTATCCATGGGATACACTGTAACTGGAGTTATCTCATGCTTGGATTTTTAAACCTTTTACTTTTATAATTATTATTAGGCACAGTACTGCCCATGGCACCCCATCCGACCCCCCACTCCACCCCCAAGGGTTTCCAATCACTTTTGCTAACGTTTGGGCTGGGAAGTAATTAGAGAATCCTGCTACAAAACAGGGTCCTATTATTGAACCCAAAAAACAAGCCACAGGTAGACTTAAGCGGCAAGGACTAGTGGCCTGTTTATGCAGGCCAAGTCACAGTATGACCGAATCTGTAACTCTGGAGCTCAGATCAAGTTGTCTGCAGGGCTGTGCAGAAGGCTAAACCTGATAATGCTTAACATCATCCTTCCCCAGCTTTTCCCACCTCAACATCCTTCCCAGTGCAAGCCCGACTCCACATGACTCTACTCTCTGCCTGGCCCACTGTATGGGAAGAGAAGGGAGAATTCAAGGCAGAAGAGGAGATAAATACTTTTATCTGCTTTCTAAATGGAAATTAGACAATTCTAAGACGTTCAGTGACTTTAAAACTCTGCTTATCCATGTGCCGAGGGAGGGAGGGAGGGAGGGAGGGGAAAGAAAGAAAAGAAAACAAGAAAAAAGGTTTTAAGAACATTGAATTGGCCAGGCGGTGGTGGCGCACGCCTTTAATCCCAGCACTTGGGAGGCAGAGGCAGGCGGATTTCTGAGTTCAAGGCCAGCCTGGTCTACAGAGTGAGTTCCAGGACAGCCAGGGCTACACAGAGAAACTCTGTCTCGAAAAACCAAAAAAAAAAAAAAAAGAACAATGAATTGTAGGTCTGTTGATAGAATGCTTGTATTGTGTGCATAAAGCCCTAGCTTCAGGAAAAAAAAAAACTATATATACACAATGGCACATGTCTATGATCTCAGCACTCAGGAGTTGGAAGCAGGAGGATCAGAAACTCAAGATCATTCTCTGTTCTATTGTGAGTGAGTTCCAGGCCAGCCCAACAAGAGACTTGTCTCAAGGATGGATGGATGGAGGAAGCGAAACTCTAACATCCAATTGTTATGGCATGGAGAAGGCTAGCCCGGACAAACTTTAAGCTACAGAAAGAGTTGAAAAGGAAGTGAATTCAAGACAAATTACTCTTTCCTTTCCCAAGGTTCTTTCTTTGCTTGAATTGATTGTAAATTCACTCAAAGAAGCAGAACTTCTGACACACGGTAACCAGGGTTAGCTCAACCTTAGCTCTGGTTCCCTGATGCTTTTGAGACGAGGTCTCACTTAGCTCACGTTTCCTTGACCTCTCAATCCTCCAGCTGGAACCCCCAAGTGCTGGTGTTACAGGAGTGTACGGCAAAGCCCAGGCAACTCTGACGTTTTCTTTTTTCTTTTCTTTTCTTTTCTTTTTTTTTTTTTTGGTTTTTCGAGACAGGGTTTCTCTGTGTAGCCCTGGCTGTCCTGGAACTCACTCTGTCGACCAGGCTGGCCTCAAACTCAGAAATCCGCCTGCCTCTGCCTCCCAAGTGCTGGGATTAAAGGCGTGTGCCACCACCGCCCGGCTGATGTTTTCTTAATGGTCAAGAAGGAAGGGACAGAAGGATAGGGGGAAGCATTCTGAGGAACTGAGACTTCAGTATGCACAACTCACAGAACAGGAAGTTGATGGTTACTTTAAACTGAAGTTAGACTTGTATGCTGATGAATCCTAAAGGGGCCTCTTCAACTTTTATCACTTCAATTGGGTTCACCTATCAGTTTTGGGGCGCACCCAGCACTTCCTTATACAGGACATTCGTTTTCAGGGATCTGGGGTTCATAGACACCCTGGAAAAGGAACTGTGGCCCCAGCTCTTACCTGGTGGCATAGGAGGGCTGAACTTCATGTGGATTCCTGCGGTCTGACCAGAAGAACAGGAGTCTGTCAAAAATGGGCTCCACATCTGCTACAAATGATTTTCCTTCTGGAAATATCCGCAGGACCCCTCCGTGTAACTGAAGACCGAGAAGGTGATTAGTTACTTCCTGGTCTTATATGAGGTTTATCAGCAATGGTGCGTTAGCTCCATCCCGGAGAAACACCACCTGTACCTCAACTTTAAGTATGTTTCATCCTGTAAATATTTACTCCCCATCGTACTTTGGAATCAAACTTATATCAGACTTAGCTAGAGATAGCTGTATTCAACTTCAGCTCAGCATCTTCCCATTCCCACAACCATGAAGGCCACAGACACAAAACAGAGGACAGGCAGAGAGCACCACACAAAACTGTCTATGTGAGACTGCTTCAACCCGCCAAAAGCAAGCAGACAAATTGTGAGCAATTTGATGGCACTAGCCATCAGATATGAAGTCAAAGCACACCTCCCATACAGTTACCCCTGCAATAACAATTTATAGCCACCCTCTGAACTCTCCAAATGCCCTCTGACCCCGCTGACTGGGCACTTCCGTCACCTCTCATACCACACTACCCACATCTTTTTGGACATCTATCACTGTCTTCACTTGCCTTTTCTTTTTCACACGTATAATCTACTTGTCCTACTGAAACAACTATCTTCTGGGTAGAAATCAGGCTTCACATGTAAGTGTGTTACACAACAGTCTCACACCGGGGGAAACTCAAACCTTTGTTAATCTCATTCCTCCTTGTTTATGACTGTCGCTCCAATAACTCTGCTCTCAATGATTTAATCAAATGATTTTTAAAAAATCATTTGAATCCGTAGCATCTCAAAGGATACTTTTAAGCACTAAAGGAACTATTCTAGTCTTACTACCAAGTAGAGAAGAGAGAACCAGTATCACATTCTAACAGCCAGAGTCTACACTGATGAACAGCAGACGGAGATGCAGAAGGTTCAAAAGCTAACTGAGCTGGTAAAGTTCTTCAACCTCACAGACGCCTAAATCATTCTTAACGTTCAGAGACCTTTACATAAACTCCACATCTCTACCGTCTACCATACCAAAATAAGCCACGCAAACCTCTGCCACTCACAGGCTACAACAAATGCCACCCCCATGGGACATATCATCCTGAGATACAGGATTATGTGGGACATCTCTCTCAGGGACAGTTTTGATATCCCACCGCTCTGTTTTTGTGGAATTCTCTCAGGGTTGCTGCTGGGAGGGGAGGGAGCCGAGGATCTCATCTACTGTGCATCTCAACGTTCAATCACCTCCCTTCACTAACCGCTGACCACAATCACCCTACCCCCACCACCACACTAACTCTAGAGCCACTGTTCTGAATCTTATCAACTTTGGCATTAATTCCATGAACAGCAGGAGGCACAGGGGGTGGCAGGGGGACCTAAAACAGCGGAGACCACTATTAGAAAGTATAACTCTCCTAAAGTTACCAGAGGTTTCACCTCGTTGGCAACAGCATGCTCCTTTGATCTGAACTTTCAGTACACCCCTACTTGCACCTTCTAGAGCACACAACTCTCCAAGCTCCTCCCCCAACTCCTCCCCCAACCCTCACCCCACACACACTATCTCACAGTACCTTGGCGTCCCAATTCTTATTCAGGTAGTAGATACAGGTGATACAGCGGCCATCACCATTGGGGTTGTCCACATGGCGAACATAACCTGTTCCATTTCCTGGATAGCAAGCCACCATTGCCTGTGGAGACATCCCAAAGATACTGTTTTTTTAAAAAAAAAAGCTTAATTTCCTCCTACAGCAGACATATACAATACATAAATTTGGATTATGATCAAAGCATAAATTTAACATGAGGTCGTCTTCGGTAAGGAAGCTTACTTAACAGGCAGGCCCTACCTTAGGACTTGGTGCAGGGTAAGCAATCCAGCAATATTCCCACATTCTAGAACCTTGAAAACTTCCTAAAGAAACCCATCTACACCCTCGACAAGATGCTTGCCTCTCTTTCATATTTCTTTTTGGCAAAGCAGGTTCCAGGTTCCCATCCGAGCCCCACAAGATCAGAATCCAGAGATATGAGAGGCAGGTACAGTGGGCACGCAGATGTAAATGTCTGTACTGGGAAGCTGAGGCAGCAAGCATGAGGCCAGCCTGGCCTACATAGGGAGAGCCTCTCTAAAAATGAAGGAAGGGAGAAAGTGCAGAGAGGGAAAGACAAAAGAATCTTTGGTGTGGCGCTTAGGGACTGTGCTTGGTTAGCAGTGCCCTGGAGTTGTGGAATCAATGCTTGTTTTCTTACAAAAACATATGTTCAATTCGAAAGGGAGCAAAAGTCAGACTTACTCAATAAAAGGCTTAGGATCACAAGAAGAGAGAAGAGTCAGTGGGAAGCCAGACCTTAACGCTTAACGAGTCAGCACAGACAATATAGGGAGATCTCTTTGAAGGGGAAAAAAACTACATATATGGTACCAATGAACTTGTAGATGGTTCTTGGTTGAAACCAGATCCCATGTTACCCAGATGAACAAGCTTTCCTTCCTCTGCTTGAAAGCATACTTTCAGACATACTTAGGGGGTCTGGGTTGTAATATTCCATGATAAATAGCAAGGTTACTTCATGAGTAAATGGACTAGTCCAGAACGGCCCCAAACTAAGCCACTGGCAGTTGAGTGAGCTGACTCCCGGTAGAGCCTGCAAACAGAGCTGGGCCTCACATACACTGCGTGCTACAAGTTGAGTCGTGGCCTGACTTTGCAATGAACTTGAAGTTTAAATCAGAGGACATCTGTACTCCACATTCCTCACAGCTAGCAATCCCTCAGCCTGCCTCGGAAGCAAGAGCCACCGTGCGGTCACATGTAGCCTGAAGGTGCTCTGTTAGCCTGAACGTCTCCCCGAAAGTCGGATTTTGAGGTGACTGTCATAAGGATTTGACAAATTATGGTATTACCAAATAGATGGTAGCTTGGAAAAAAAAGGTGACTGCTGGCGTGTCTGGAGAGGAAGAGACAAATGAAGTTGTTGCCTAGAGCACTGGTAGGGAATTAAGCAGTGGTCAGAAGTGTAAGGGCCAACACTGAAAGTCACTTAGCACAATTACTCCATGATTTCCCCACCATCCCAGTCTCCCCATTACTGGGGGTGGGGGAAAGGACCTAAAACTTAAAAAAAAAAAAAAAAGCCTGCTGCCAGTCAGTGCTTTAGCTTTATATTCTAAAACAGCTCTGCTCCCAGAAAAGGTCAGTGGTCTGGATGCCTGCCATCTACCTCATCTGCAGCCTACTGTAATCCCAGGCTCCTTCCTGTGAGGAGGAGGTTGGGCTACATGGTTTATATCAGTTGCCGATTTGACAGGATGTAGGATCACCTTGGAGACAGATCTCTGGGCATGTCTGTGATGGATTTCGTAGATTGCGTTAATTGAGATGAGGAGACCTGTCCTAACTAAAAAAGGGGGAAACTGAGCCAGCCACCAGCATCCTTCTCCCTCTGCTTCCCGACTGTGGCATCACCGTAATCAGCTGCTCTGAGCTGCGCCATGACTTCCTGCCACGATGCACTGTGCCCTGGGACTTGAGCCAAAACAAATCCTTCCTTCCTCCAGTTGCTTTTGTCGGGTGTTTTGTTACAGCAACGAGACAAGTAATTAGCACAGTCCTCCAACGTCCAGAGAGAGAGAGAAGACTTGGTCTAAGCTCAGCGTGCTGGGAAGAGAGCAGGGTCTCATAGGACATTAAGAAGCACGAGCAGGCTTTAGAACTCAGCTGGAATTAAAATAAGGCAGGAAATACAGACAGTTCCCACAAACATGCCCTCCACTAACTGCTGCAGGTATAGAAGAGAGAATGTGCCCGGCACAGTTCCTGGTGGACTTACCACTAAGCCACCCCTCTTATTGTGAGCATACGCGTCGTGAAGGGAAGGAGGAAATCATTTTTCTGGCCAGAGTGCAAGTCACCCTCTCTCTGATTCCAGAAGCCACGTGCATCACGTTTAAACAATGGGAGGAAACCAAGGGAAGCTCAAAGGTCCCGCCGCAACCTTGCTGACCAATTGTACCACTGAGGTTTCTGGCTGAGTGCCTTAGGAGATGGGGTTTTGGCTCAGACCCATTCCCAACTGTCTGCTGGTCCATGCCAGGATCTCAAACTGTGAAGCTAAGGATGCACTGATAGGCAAACCTCAGTGACAAGTCATCAAGCCTGTGCCAATTTGTGCACGGTGCGGTAACAGACTCCGGAAACTGATGGGTTTATCAGATCTGTTATCTGAACCTCATCAAGTCTTTAGAAGGAGCCGGAGTGCAGATCCGAGGGAAACGCTGCAACACTTCATTGTTTTATGGGAATGAGGAAGGTATCTTATTATAGGGTTTTTTTATTGACAAAAACTTCCTGGCTTGACCAATACTTGAAATTTACAACAGTTAAATAGCACATCGGTGTCCCTGTGGTAACATGGACACTGTACCTGGTTCTAGTACTGGGTTTGCAGATGAATCAGCATGTCCACTGATTCTGCACGTTCTCTGATGCATCACCGCCCCGGCACTGGCCCCTGCCCAACCCCCCCCCCCACCCCCAGAGGCCTCTCCATAGCTCTGTAGCAACAGGAAATGAGAGGAATGAACCAGGTGTTCCCGAGCTGGCTCTACACCAGAGATATGTGCTTTAAGACACTTCCATGGTCACGTTCAGGCAAGAAGAAGTGCACACACATAGAAGAACTATATAGCAGAATCCAAGTATAAAATCTACTTTACAAATGCCACCAGGAGAAAAGAAAACCATGCATCTGTTAGGGGCTGTGGGAGAATTATAAAAACAAACAAAAAACCAAGTTCAGAGATCAAGCCCAGGATGTACACGCACAGGCCTCAACTGGATGTTCTAAAGCAACCAGCCACAGCCTGACTAAGGATACAGTTTTAAAACCAGTATCAACAGTGTCAACTGTTCACTCAGCAACTATTATCGTTCTCAGGCAGTATACTTAGTACTTCTCTATAGAGCATACTGCAGATGGGGATGAAGGCAAGCGGTAGAAGTCACCCCTAACATGCATGCACAACAGCCTAAGCTTGACTCCTAGCCCTCAAAAAGAAAGAAGCTATGCCATGTATTTTTAATGAAAAATATATATATACATACACATATAAATGTATATATATTTTATATATCATATATGTGTATATAACACACACACACACACACACACACACACACACACACACACACTGCTCAGGCCTTTGGAATCAGATTCCTTTGTAGAACTTGATCTTTACAAACGCAAAGTTACATTTTATGCAAATTTTTACTGAGCAACTTTTTAAAAAAATAATCATTTCATTTATAAAAATCATAATTGATACACAGATATTGTTTAAGCCTGACACAGTATCTCACACCATTTACTCAGCTCCTGAGGAGGCTGAAGCAGGAGTCTCACACATTTTAGAGTAGCCAGTCCAACAAAAAGAGATACAGTCAACAGGAGATACAACAAAAAGCCAAAGGAAGAACAGTAGAACTTTAAAGCTATCTGGCTGAACGGCCTTTAAAATTTGGTCTACTAACAAATTGGACCTCATTGTTACTAAACAAATATTAGCAAAAGCTTTTCAAGAATGTTTTTTAAATCTTCTTTTGGGGGGATTTAATATTATTGCTTAATCACATCTCTACAGGTGGGGAGGGACTGGCCGGGAGGCATCGGATCCCACTGAAATGGGAGTCTTCAAGCTGCTGTGAGCAGCAGCTGGGTGCTAGGAATCAAACCCAGGTCCTCTGCAAGAGCACTACACAGTCTTAATCCCGGAGCACCATCTCTCTGGCCCTCAGATCTGTTTAATTAAGAATGGTTCTGTTAAAGAGACACTGCCTGGAAGAAGGAGCAGGAGGGGAAGGAGGAGGAGGGAAAGGAGGAGGGGGAGGAGAGGGCAACAATGAGGGAGAGAGAAAGAAACAGCTTCTGTGCATTGAATAAATCCAGTGAATGCAGCTCAGCCTAGGCACAGAGTTATCAGTGCTTAAATCTCTTTGTACCTCAGCTAACTCATCTGTAAAAACGGGTTTAAGCAAACTGAAGTAAATAATCCATGTAAAACTCATAGCACAAGATCTGGGATTGCTTTCCTTGGCCTCAGAGCCGCAGGGACCCTTTCTTTCTTTCCCTCTCTACCCTAAAGGACAGCCACACAGAGAATCAGACACATCAAGAATCAGGAGAAAAACAAGGAAAGCACACACTTCATTAGCTTGGACAAAAGCCCAGTGGGAGAGAGTCACAGCTGAGTTTTGTGGCTTGCAACAGTCTCATTGGTATTCAGGTGGCAAGGGCTAGGTAAATGTGGTGGCAATGTTTTAGGGTCTGTGAGCGGGAGGAATGGAAGTCAATACCTGGGGAGAAAGGTTTGTGTTCAGCACGTATTTTAACTCACACAATGAATGTGGATCGTGAGCAGGGGCCAGCTGCCCCTTGAACACTTCATGTGCTGCAGTAGTAAAGGTACCTCCGTAGGCAGAGCCCATGAGGTGACAGACACACAGAGGCAGGGGCAGGGCGATGATTGACTGCACAGAGGTCTACATGGCAAGCAACAGCCCTAAGCTTGAATTTCTCCTATTAGAAAAGATAATAAAAATCTCTGGGTATCCAAACGCTTTCTGCAATGCTCCGACCATGAAGACCAGAGTGAACCAACAAAGTAGAAGAGGCACACTCTTTGCGGGGT